CTACTGTCAATCCTTTTTTTTTTTTTTTTGAGTTGGTGTCTCACTCCTTACTCAGGCTGCAGTGCGGTGGCATGCTCATGGCCACCCCAGCATCAAACTGCTGGAATCCGGAGATCCTTCTGCCTCAGCCTTCCAAGTAGCCAGAACTACAGGCGTGGGCTACCACACCCGGCTAGTTTTTGAGTTTTTTATTGTAGAGTCGAGGTCTCTCCAAGTTGCCCGAGCTGGTCTCGAACATGCGAGCTCAGGCAATCCATTCACCTTGGCCTCCCAAAATACTGGGATTACAGGCCGAGCCACTGCGCCTGACGAATCCTTTTCTTATATTATTAAAATAGTTGTTCAAGGTCCACTTATGAATGAGAACGTGTGACATTTCGTTCTTTGTTTTTGTGAAAGATCACTCAGTATTATAGATTCTAAGTCCATCCATGTTCCTGAGAAGTTCATGATTTTGTTCTTCTTTATGGCTGCATAATATTTTATTGTGCATATGTACCACATTTTTTTTTTAAATCCAGTCCTCTTTAAATGGGCAGTACGATTTATTTCATGTTCTTGCTATTGTGAACAATGTGCTAAACATATGTGTGCAGATACCTTTTTTATAGAGTGATTTGAGTTCTTCTGAGTATATTCCCAGTAATGGGATTGCGGGCTCATATGGAAATTCAATTTTTAGAACTTTTAGGAATCACCCCACTGTTTTCCACAGAGGCTGTACCTGTTTACACTTCCACCAACAGGGTAGAAGTGTTCCCTTTTAGCCACATCCTCTCCAGCATCTGTTATTTTTTGAGTTATTGATGATGACCATTCTGACTGGAGTTAGGTGGGCTCAGTGTAGTTTTAATTTGCATTTCTTTGATGACTAGTGAGGTTGAATATTTTTTCATGTATCTGTTGGCTGCTCATACATCTTCTTTTGAGAACTGTCTGTTTGTATCTTTTGCCCACTTTGTAATGGGGCTGTTTGTTTTTTTCTTTTCAACTTGTTTGAGTTCCTTGTAGATCCTAGATGTTAGGGCTTTGTCAGACATACAGTTGGCAAATATTTTTTCCCAGTCTGTGGGCTGTCTCCCTGCTCTCTTGATGGTTTCTTTGGCTTTGCAGAAGCATGTCAGTTTGTTGAGGTCTTATCTCTTATGGCATGGTTGCTTGGGGTTTTGATCAGGAATTGGTTGCCAGATCCAATTTCCATAAGGGTGTCTCCCGCATTTTCTAAGGTTCTTATAGTGTGAGGTTTTACGTCTAGGTCTCTGATCCATTTAGAGTTGATTTTTGTGTATGGGGATAGGTAGGTTCCTGTTTTAATCTCCTGTAAGCCTTAGCACTATTTACTGAATAGGTTCTCTTCTCCCCAGTGGTTGCTGGTGGACCTTTGTCAAAGATGAGTTGGTTGAGAAATTGAGGTTTTGCTTCTGGAATCTCAATTTTATTCCAATGGTCTATATCCCTGTTCTTGTACCAATACCAGGCTGTTTTGATTATTGTAGCTTTATAATAAAACTTAAAGTCTGGGAGTGTGATACATCCTGCTTTGTTTTTTTTGCTGAGGATTGTTTTGGCTATTCGTATGGTCATTTATGTTTCCATATGAATGCCTATATTGTTGTTTCTAGGTCTGAGAAGAATGTTGCTGGTAATTTGATGGATATTGCATTAAATCTGTAGATTGCCTTAGGTAGAATGGACATCTTAACAATGTTGATTCCTCTAATCCATGAGCATGGAATATTTTTCCACCTGTTTGTGTCATCTTTGATTTCTTTGAGCAGTGTTTTGTAGTTTTCATTGTGAAGGTCTCTCACATCTCTGGTTAGGAAGATGCCAAGGTAATTCATTTTTTTGTGTGTGTGTGGCTATTGTGAATGGAATTGAGCTTTTTATTTGTTTATTATTGGTGTATAGAAATGCAATTGTCTTTGGCACATTTATTTTATACCCTGAGACTTTGCTTAAGTCCTTTATCAATGCAAGGAGGTTTTTGACAGAGTCTCTTGGGTTTTCGAGGTATAGAATCATGCCGTCTGCAAAGAGGGATAACGTGATTTCCTCTTTTCCTGTTTGGATACCCCTGATCGCCTTCTCTTCTCTGATTGCTCTAGCTAGGACTTCTAAAACTATGTTGAACAGGAGGGATAAGAGTGGGCATCCTTGTCTTGTTCCAGTTTTCAGGAGAAATGGTTCCAATTTAGCAGTATGCTGGCTATGGGTTTCTCGTAGATGGCTCTTACTATTTTGAGGTGTGTTCCATCTATGCCTAGATGTTTGAGGGTTTTTATCAAGAAGTGGTGCTGGATTTTATCAAAAGCTTTTTCTGCATCTAATGATATAATCATGTGGTTTTTGTTTTTATATCTGTTGATGTATTTACTTAACGATTATGGTCTTACGAATGTTGAACCAGCCTTGTGTCCTTGGGATGAAAGCTACTTGGTCATGATGGATGATTTTTGAAGATATGTTGATGTTTCCAGTTTGCTGGGATCTTGTTGAGAATTTTAGCATCTATGTTCATCAAGGATATTGGCCTGTAGTTCTCTTTCTTTGTTGAATCTTTACCTGGCTTGTGTATCACTGTGATGTTAGCTTCATAAAATGGTTTGGGGAGAGTCCCATCTTTCTCAATTGCCTGGAATCCTTTCAGTAGGATTAATATCAGTTCCTCCTTGTATGTTTTGTAGAATTCTACTGGAAAGCCATCTGGTCTAGGGTTGTTTTTTTTTTTTCCTTAGGTAGTTTTCTTATGATATAGTCACCTTCCTGGATTGTTATTGGTCTATTTAGGGTCTCAATTTCTTCTTGTTTCAACATGGGGAGATTGTGTGATGTCAGAATGGCCTCCATTTCCTTTAGGTTTTCAAGTTTGTTGCCATACAAGTGTACACAGTAGTCTCTGGTAATCTTTTGTATGTCTTCAGGGTCAACTGTGACTTCATCTTTTGTGTTTCTGATTGTGTTTATTTGGCTTTTTCTCAGTCAGTCTAGCTAGGCTAGGACCATCAATATTGTTTATCTTTTGAAAGAACCAACTTTTTGTTTCATTGATTTCTTTTTTTTTTTTTATTGTTTGAGTTGGAGTCTCACTTTGTCTCCCAGATTGGAGTGCAGTGACATGCTTCCGGCTGCCACAGCTTTGACCAGCTGGGCTCTGGTGATCCTTCCGCCTCAGCCTTCCAAGTAGCCAGAACTACAGGCGCATGCTAACATGCATGGCTAATTTTTGATTTATTGTAGAGACGAGATCTTGCCAGGTTGCCTAGATGGGTCTCGAACTCACGGGCTCAGGCACTCCACTTGCCTCGGCCTCCCAGAGTGCTGGAATTACAGCCTGAGCCACTGAGCCCGGCCTTGTTGATTTTTTTTTTTTTTGTATTATCTTTTTGTCTTCTATGTCCTGGATTTGGGCTTTTATTTTGGTGATCTGGAGTCTTCTGCTGAAGTTGTTAAAGTTTTGATGGTCTTGTGTTTCCAGCTTCCTTAGGTAACTTGTTAGGCTGTTAACTTGTGATCTTTCCATTACTTACATGTCTTAATGTGTAAGTAATATAAGGTCTGGAGCTACTTTACATTAGTTTTGGAGTAAGGCAGAATATTAAAATAAAAACATTAATTCATCTTTAGAAGAAAAAAATATTCTTAATTCTACCACCAGAGCATACATAACTATTTTTCATAGTCTTCTCAAGATTTTGTTACATATATTACTCATTTCACTTGTAATCTTGTTAACATTTTATTTTATTTTTTGAGTTGGAGTCTCACTCTGTCGCCCAGACTGGAGTGCAGTGGCTGCTTCCAGCCACTGCAGCCTCGACCCGCTGGGCTCTGGCAAT